GGACTAAAACATTTAAATAAAAAACTTACCAACTACAGAGTTGCAGATCACGTCAAGCTCTATATTTTTTCTATTAAATTCATCTTCATCTAACTTCTCATTCGTATAAGTTATGATTTATTTTTCAGCGACTATTTCTAGACTAGAGGCATGCCCCTTAAGAGTCCCGCTTTTGTTAATCAATTTCTAGAGGCGGGCCCTTAGAATGCCTTCCTCTATTAAAAACCAATTTCAGAGAGGTCCTTTTAAAATATCTATCTATGTTAATCGATTAATAGAAGCAGATGTCCTAAGGGCAACCGTCTCTATAAATAGTTAATTGACAGATGGGATCACCTTGAATATCCAGCTTGGAGCCTATCTCCTAATTACTTTTTGCAGTAGTGCAGTGGGCGGTTTTACGAATAAGGTGAATGGATTTATATTGATGGTTTCTTAAAACCGCCAAAACAATGGTGGCATTAGGTCATTTTTTTATAAAAAAAGTACATACAACAGCTATTTCTGAAACAAAGTCTGAAAAAGAAAATAAAAATTACATCGGGAGCAGGAATTGGTCCCACTCTTGACCGGCTAAAATCAGGCCCGGCCCTGAGGGGGGCGGGAGGGGCAGCCGTCCCTGGCCCAGAATGCCGATGGGCCCCTCCCAAAATAGTACTAGTACTATGTAGTATGTACTCAGCCCAAACATACATGATACGCCAGAGCAGATTAATCGACGTCGACGCCGGTGATCACGCAACACAACACGCGCGACTTCTCGGTTTCCTTTCCTTCAACACCGGTGATCACGCAACACTGTTGGACTTCTTTCCTTCTACTTCGTTGCGCGAGCCGAAAGGCAGCGTCGCAGCTAGCCAGCAAGCCGCCGCCCGCCCGCCCACCGGCTGCCTGGTCAGGCACGTTCGAGACCGCGCGCGCACCGCACTCCAATTCCATGGCGATCTGCATAGGGCGATTGCCGACTGGGCAAGCCGGCTTCCAATTCCATCGCCATCAGGCTTCAGGCAGGCCGCAGTTACCCTATTTTTATCTCTGTTGTATGTCTATGATCCCTAATCATGTACTCATTAATAGTTGCAGTTACCCTATTTTATTAAACTGCAGATTTGCAGTTAATAATTGTTTATCTAAATTTTAATAGGATCGTGTCATCAAGAAAGTATGATTCTTGCAATGACAACAGAAAGAAGAAAAAGTGAATAGATGACATGATACAGTCACAGAGATGGGCTCTTCATAAATTTCTTAAGAGTAATACAAGCATTTCAAGAGATCCAGATGCATTGACGGTAGTTGCCGTGGAGGAGCCAGTAATGCTAATCCAGAAGATCAGGATCATATGGAAGACAATGTTGACATCGACATGGATGGACATAATGTGAGTGATCATGAGCACGTATTTAATTCAGTTAATTGAATATTAGTAATATGTTGTATATGTGTGTATATATACTAGCAATGAGTAGTACTAGTAGTATTATCATGTTTATATAAAAAGATCCAAAAATTTAGTTTCGTTCTGGGTAAAAAAAAAAACCCTTAGGACCGGCCCTGGCTAAAATGTGGCACTATATATTTGCCAATCGTTGGATATTCTTTCATGGAGCTCAATCACTAGCCGGTGAATACAATGCGTACCGATCGATAGCATGGAGCTCCGCAGTCCACACCGACTTGTGAAACGATGCAACAAGTTGCCGGATCCCGGAGGCCTCGATCAGTCGCTTTCTCGTTCGTTTTCTCGTCCGAATCAGCCAAAAGGCGCGCGTCGGCCGAGGTGCGCGCATGCGGATCGGCCGGCCAGATGCTCCATGCATCCACAATCATCACAAGCGAACGAATCGAGCGCCTCGTCTATTTTCATGGCAGTGGCGCGGCACCCAACCACAAGCTGCGCGCCGAGATCGATTAGGCCGGCCACAGCGTGCAAGCGGTGCCCAGAAAAAAAGCAGTGGCCACGTTGGAAACCGGGCATCTCATGCATACCAACGACTACCAACGACGTGTGGAGTGGAACGAATTGAACCACCAGCCCATCTCACGGCCGGGTCACGGCCCGTCCCTGCATGCGTGCTGCCGTGCTTCGAGCCACAGGAGTATGTGTACGTATCACGGACGCGCACATCAGCGTCACACATGGAGGACGTCCTTGTCCCCGGCACCGTACCGGAAGTGCACATGCATATTTGCAACAGTGAGCCTGCGGGAGTGGTGCGGTGTGCGTGCCGTTATGTGCACTTGTGCACAGTACCAAATCCTTCGCGCGCGTGCTTCAACTTGCCAGTTTGCTGGAAGACCTCCATCGATCGTGCCAACCTTATTAGATGAGGGAGAGATGGACCAACGTGTTGCTTGCTTTGACCATCCTTCCGTATTTAGCATGCATGGCTCTTTGATTTGATATCGTGGCCTCTACGTTCGTTAATTACATAATATTGAGCCAAACATGACACATTGTAATCTACTCCTTCCGTTCCAAACTATAAGACCTTTTGTTTTTTAGGTATATTATTTTTCACTATGTATTTATACATAGTGTATATTTAGGTACATAATAAAACCTACGTATCTAGAAAAGTCAAAACGTCTTATAATTTGGAATGGAGGGAGTATAAACTAATGAAGACGACGTGACGTGACATGCATATATGTACTAGCGTGACTAAGCAAAATATACTGATCAATGATCATATGAAAATGGAGAAAGAACAAACCTGAACCTGCAATGGAACCGGTGCCCACTGCTTGGGTCGGCCATGACCAGGCCTGCTCGGTCGGTCAATCGAAAACTAATGCAGTGCAGAGAGAACATCATGTAGGTGTTCTAAAAGCCTTCTCTCGTTGTGTACAAAAATGCTTCGGAAAGTAGCTAGGAGTAGCGACCAGTTGCGCTAAACGTTCTCAAAAAACTCGATCACTCACCTATTTGTATAGCATAGGTGACGCAACGATCAATGATTTTGGAGGCCTGCTCTTTCAAGTGTACGCGCAGGAGTGATACATAGTACATATCTATCTAGAGGATCATGTGTGGAAGGGCTCTCAGCCTCTCACGAGATGTGTAATCAGTTCAATGACGAAGCCTTGTTCGTCATAGAATTAAAGAAGATCGTCACAGATGAATCGCGTGAGTGTGACAAAACTTTGTGCTCTTCTATGACGTTTCTTGTGACGATGTCTGATTTCGTCATAAATAGGGAGGGTTTGAGGATCGTCACCACTGATCTATGACGAAACGGAAATATTCGTCATAAAAAGCGATCTTCTATGACAGTTTTGGATTCATCATTAAGATTTTCGTCATAGAAGTGGATATTTCTAGCAGTGTCGTTCAATGAGACAACAACAGTCTAATGACTCCAAGAGTTAAACAAAGAAATCACGATTTTGTAAATTGTGTTCAATTTGTTATTAAGGTTATTCAACTTTTGTTAAACCTATAATTAAGGTTCACACATATATAGATCCATCAATTTGTGCTTTGAATATTCAACGGATTGTAAACAATGGTTGTTGTCAGTGTTTTTACCTCAAACACAGAGATTTTGTACATAGGACATAATGTCCACTTTATGAGGAGAGTTGTATTGCTTGTGAGTCGTGTCCAGAGTTTGACGGGGTGTTGGTGTATGTGTTCTGAGGATGTTTGTCGATGTCAATCGAGGGTATCCTACCGCACCTTATATACTGAAAGATAGGGTTACAGATTTAATTTTTCCATAGGACGTAGATTTGATATATGCATGTTAGTTTCCATCTATTGATGGTGTTGATGCAACTATCTATTCAAACCTTTTCTTTTAAAAAAATGTGGCACGTACGACGACGGCAATAACAAAATGAACAAAAATAATCATTTTCAGTCTTGAACAAGTTGAGTAGGCTGGATATTCGAAACATCAAAAGCGAGAAAAGAGAGATACTAGTGGCAGTGAGATATGATAAAAAACAGGGCTGTTGGCATACATGGCGGCTCGGGGCACATGTGTTAGTTGATTGTTGATTTCCATTAAAAAAAACTATGACACGGGTCTAGCAAATGAGACAGGCCACGTGTCTTCCCAGAATGCCTTGATCAAGCAGATCAACAATGCTCGATGCACACTAGCAGCAACATGATCAATATAATAATAATCAAACATTTAACCTTTTCCTTTTTTCACAAACAAGCGACGAGGCAACAAAGAGCGATACACCCGGTGTGTGTGTGTGTGTATATATATATATATATATATATATATATATATATATATATATATATATATATATATATATATATATATATATATATATATATATATATATATATATATATATATATATAGAGAGAGAGAGAGAGAGAGAGAGAGAGAGAGAGAGAGAGAGAGGGGTAAGGCTATTCTACAGCTGGTCATAGAATAACTTATTATATAGCTACCTTGATTTACGATAATATTTGTACCAATTTACGATAACATGAATATGCATTTACGATACTCGTGTTACTACAACTCACGGTGATATTTACGATAATGTTATAGTAAATCACTTAGTAAGGAGATACTGTAATCTCGTAAATTAGCATGGTAATTATCGTAACTCAAAGTGGCCACATAATAACTTATTCTGTGGCCAGCTGCAGAACAATAATTATATATATATATATATATATATATATATATATATATATATATATATATATATATATATATATATATATATATATATATATATATATATATATATATATATATATATATATATATATATATGTGCGCGCGCGCGCGCGCTCTTCTTCGAAGCATGCATGCATGCATGGTACGAGATTAATAGGTACAGTATATACGTCGTATAACACATGCATGTGATATGGGACACAAAGTATAACTAATAAAGCAGCCCAAATGCACCGCTACACGTATTGATTTATGCTTAGTTATTTATATATAATTCTTTGCCGTCGTCGATAGATTAACATATGGACAGCTCGTCCAGCCCACCTGAGACTGAGAGCGAGCTTAGACGAATGAGAAAGGCTGGGTGCCGAGGTTGAGGATGCCGCCAATGAGGCCGCCGAGGATCTGCCCAACGAGACCGATGATCCCGCCGATGAGGCCGCCGAGGTCGCTGCCGCTGCCGCTGCCCGTGGTGATGTCCAGGAGCTTCAGCGGCGCCGACAGCGTCCCGGTGGCTCCGGCCAGGGACTTGTCGCACGCGCCCAGCGGGGTGGCCACGACCACCTTGCACAGGTGTGTTGCCCAGAATGGCGGCGACCAGATCCCTGCTGGCACTGCTTTGGCTGAAGAGGAAGGCCCCGGTGCTGTCCGTCGTCGTGCTGCATGCCCACTACGTTGCTGCCGCACACACGAGCTACACCAGGGCGTCTGGCACGACCAGATGACAGGGGGAAACATATATAAGATCGACGTCCTGAAAAACTGTTATTACAGATAATACGTATTCAGACGACAGGGCCCATATCCGTGTGTCCTTACTGGGGAACGACGGGACCGTGGCTAGGTTGATGGAGTTCCCGGCCCGGTGGCGCATGGCACGATGCCGGAGACGACGAAGCTGGTGTTGGTGTTGGGGCTCGCCCCCAACCCGGCCCGCCGCACCGCGGGGCAGCTGGCCGGCGGAGACGACGACTACGATGAGCAGAGCGGTGAGGACAAAGCTCTTCGGCGCCATTATATTGCTTGGTTGCTGCTCGATCGCTAGCTAGTGTTTTTACCAGCTGCCTCTCGGTCTGTTGTACGGAGCGAGGTTGAGATTGTGCTGAGCTGATGAGTTGTAGCTCATGCTGCTGCATTGATCCGCTATTTATAATAGGCGGCGCGTGCGTGGCCAATGCAAGTGTGCGCGCGTGCTTGCAGTGTTGGAACGCCTCACGCTGCTGTCCCTGTTCGCGCGTCGTCGGGCGTGCATGTAAGCAGCAGCCAACTTGATCTTGACGGGACGGGCCCAGCGAGAAAATCCCGAGCAACTGACGGGCGGTGCGGGGCAGCCGACGGAGCTACACATCTCTCTTTTGTTTCTCAGTGCTGTGTCTTTGTTGATGATTGTTGAGGCGAGGATACACTCAGTAAGCAGTCCTACTCATAATGAGTGGTCATAAATTAACACGCAGCTGATTAAGTGATTATATAGTCTGATAATTATTGGTGGTCATGCATGGAGATCGAGCTGATAGGGATGGCGGTAGGGTGGTATACTGCCCTGAGAAAGCCTATAGGCGTGTGGTCCGACCCGATCGTGTGGCAATGCACCGCCGGCATGCCGCTCCACCCTCGACGCGAGCCCGTGGAATTCCTCCGGTTCACTTCTTCACGAGCCGTACAATGCCAAGAAGATGGCAGCAACGGAGATCGACATCGTTCTTGTTGTAGAAAGGGAAAATGAGAGCCAACAGAACATCTATTGATCTCAGTGAATGAATATATATTACATGCGGTTGCTATCTTCAGCAACCGTTCCTACACTACGCACTACGCGTGCTGGTGGAGAACGTGGTGACCACGCACGCTGGCGTCTGTCCGCGCTCCTGCAGTTACCGATTCATCCGTCTTGGCATGTATCCTCAACACTTGTATTGCTTACGTTCAAGAATATCATTGATGTTGATTAAAAAAAAGAATATCATTGATGAGTAATATAATCTGATTTCTTTGAGAGCGCTAGCTGAGACCGGCTGGAGTGGGAGGGAGAGAATGGAAAGCTCCCACTTGTGCCGATAATTTCCTCTGTCGTATGTCTGGCATGCTCAAACTTTGTCACCTTCCTGCGGCACTGTTGATGCGTACAGCCGCAACAACCAATGCAAAGCATAGATCGATCCTCCGCGACGATGATGTTTGTTGCTTCTACGTCCAAAATTATATATTGTTTTGGTTTTGCTAGGTACTCTATCTGTCTCAAAATAATTATACATTCTGTTGTTTTGAAGTCAATTTTTTTGCTAGGTACTCTAGTCACATTTTAAAAAGTTTGATTCCTTAAAAAAACGAGACGTGCAGTTATTTTAGAACGATGAAATATATAGATTTTGCTATATATCTGAAAAGCTAAAAATGACTTATAATTTGAAACAGAGGGAATAGTTAACACCTTTTTTTTTCTTCAAGATACACCGCTTTCTTTGCGTTTTTTTTTCAAAAAACATTGTGTGTATGTACATTTCTATTTTTGCCTTTTGGCTTTTTTGTTGGTTTAGGTGAACCTTCCCGTATATTAATAAACAACGCATCCTACCTATCATATACTCTTATAAAGCAAAACCCCATTAGCCAATTTATCTGATTCCACGGCCCTCCACGTCATCAAGTAATTTCAACCTTCTGATTCTCTATCCGTCTATTAGAGACTTCGTGTATACCATCCCATTGCTACTCTTCATTAAATTCCACCGAGCAAGTCCCAGCCCTTACTCAAATCATTTATCAGGTTGCTTTTGATGCCTTCCCACGATCTCTACTATCGTGCAAGTAATAATTACTCAAAACGCCTATAATCAGTAGGCACGTCCGTATCCTTAAATCTCTTCTTTATCTTCTAATATACCTGCCCTGCAGTACAAGCGAACCAACTGCAGTCTGCTCTCTGAAAGCCAATCATACAATTCTCCGAGCCCCTGATGACTGATGAGGCCACGCGCTACCCAATGTCTGCATTCATCTGTACCGCAAGTATCATCTTGCAATTCCAGCGGTAAATAGTTATATTATTTCCCTCTTTTGTTGGAGCAGATCGAGTATGATTGTGAAATAACGATACCGGTAAGTTTTCTAGCCAAGAATATGGTTATCCATTTACTCCTTATTTGTTTGTTCACGGACTTTCACTAACCTCCAGTCCTATCAGTGTAACAATTCCTAATGATGTGGTCTCGATCAACTCTTTGGTCTGTGGCGTAGGCCGTGCTATATGCTTCAAAATTTCTATCAGTGCAGCTTTTTCTCTGGGATTTATTTACTTGACTTGATCACATCGATTTGTTTATCTGATCACACGCTTTTGTTTTTTATGCTTGGGTATTTCACGTGATTAAGGATTAGTTCACCTCATATCTATATGCAGTATGGATACTGCTATGTTGCACTTTTTTTTTCTACTATAAAGCCACCTATATAAGTTAGCTAAGCTCATAGCTTATTGGTATGCCCATTAGGCTGCATTTGGTCACGATCATCTACAGATTAAATCATTGATTTCATATATCACCAATATTTCATCTATAGTGTTTCTCCATTAAACCCCTAAAGTTTGTGCATATGCAATTTTCATTAAATAACCTTTTAGTTCTTCCCTTCGTTCAATGAATGATCACCTAAACTAACTTCAAATTCCCGCGGCAACGCGCGGGGAATTCATCTAGTTTATGTTAAAAGAAAACACACTTTGCACTATTACATTGAGATGAGTCAACACTACTACCAAGTGAGTGAAATAAGGGCCATCCATGTGTGATTTTTCCAACACTCAGTTGAATACTACAATGGATCCATTTCTTTCCCATGATATCTTCTCTTCAATATCCCAACCTCAAAACTTCACATTCTACCTTCCAACCAACTGCAACTTCATGCTTCGTCCCATATCTTTAGTGGGTCTCGTCACTGGTCCTGTTCGCTTGAACTTATCAGCCGTACCTTTTCAGCAAAATAACAATGTTTTTCTCTCACAACAAATCAGCATCAGCATCAGCCATTTTTCCAACCAGCCGAACAGGGCCACTGAATCTATATACGCATTCCGCCAGTCACCCTAACCCCTTTTGATTTGATTACCATGTCCCTACCTACTCATTGGCCATCCTCAATTGCCTGGCTGGCCTAGTGGCATGGCCTTCTCCTGTACATCCGCTTCTCTTTAAGTGTAAATCCTAACGGTCCAAAGCTTGCAAGAAATCCGTTGGTACTGTAGAAATTATTATAATTCATTGATGAACATAAAATGTGCAGGTTAGTTTTAATTTAATTATAGGCTCTATAAAACAAAAAGTATTTCTAGTAAGAAAAATCCATGTAAGTTTAACTAGGTTACATAAAAATAATCAGGACATGAAAAAAATCAGAATTTTTAAAAATAAACATATATATATCATTAGAAATTCAGTTATACAGAAGTGTGCTGGGCCTGGGCCTACGACGTGCTGGATCAGAACAAAGCAGCATCCAGGTCTGCTCGGGGCCCATGGAAATTTCCATACAGCCCCGGACCCCCGCGTTTACCCCTGCGTCTCCACGGTTCTGCGGCTCTGCCTCTTCTTCGCTCTCACCCGCCCCAGCGTGCGCGGCCGCCGCCACCCTAAGCCACGTCTTCGTCGAGCACTTCGGCAGGTATTCTTCGGGCCCCTTTGCCGGTGACGAGTACGCCCACCCCTTTTCTTTCCTTAATGCTGTGCGGAAACCGAGCAATCAAACCCTAACTTCAGCTATTTGTATGTATTCGGATCTGATCTAATTACAAGTGTATACATGTATCATGCCTACAAATTTTGATTTTATTTTGAAAATATTATTGGGTGTACATGTCTTTAGATCCGCGCCTTGGCAGTTGGCACGGGTTAAGTCTGTATTTGGTCTTGGTGGCTAATTAGCCAACTACACACAGCAGTCACACCATGGCAGCAAACCCTGTGTGGATGGTCAGTAAGCCCACCTATATTAACTCGTGTTGTGCCAATCGAAGGGGTTACTCTGCCTAGTGTGTTTCCTTCTCTGACACACCAACTCACAGCTCGGCGTGAACCAACTAATTTTGTAGTTTCTTGTAGATCAATCGGCAAATGTTTTCCTCGCAAAAGAAAAAAAAGAGATGCTGAAATTTAGTGCCTGTAGTGTTCTGGATTTGATGCAAAAGGACTATTCTGGTTTTGATGTCCCATAACGTCTTCGTGTTTTATCTTGAGGTTTATGGGTAGAGAGAGAAGCATGGTGACTTATTACTAGGTTGCATATTTTCAGTTGTGCAACTGGTAGTAGGTTCACCTAGATATGGTTTTCACGGCTATGTATTGTATAATGGGCTGATGGGTGGAGCGGCTAATTGGCCCTTTAGGCTGTAGTTGCAGACAGTGCTGCCTTATTGCATACTGTGACCGTACCTCTAGCCGTCTCTCTATAAGTTTGTTTACAGAAGAATCTCTAAACAGTTAAGGGGTACCATTAAACTGCTCTTTCTTTTCAGCTCATCACTAGTAATTATTTTTGCTATTAATCTAAGATATCCTCAGTCCTAACTTTAATCAAGTACTGTTGGTATCATGCTATGCCCATCTTTGAAAAATAAGGAGGGACTATATGTTTCACCATTCTTGCATACACTAGTCCAATTCACAGTTTTTATGCCTTGACAATGAAAAGGAGAGCATCTTTTGATGCACGATTTTCTGTTTTTGTGTCTTAACAATGAAAATGAGCATCTGTTGGTGCAGTATGTTTCAATGCTACGTTTCTTCTTAGCACCAGTGTTCAATTGTGCCTAGACATTCTATGACCTGCCAGTGTTGAGTGGACATAATATCTCCTGACGCATAAACGATATGATGTCCTATTTTCGATCAATACTGAATATTTGACTAGGTAATCCACAGCCTAGCTGTCTTGATGTCATCTGTGGTTACAGATATATGGTGTGGTTAGTATCTTGCTCAGAAAGACGTCCAAAACAGACTATCTCATCCTGGAGTCAATTGGTTCAATTAATGGCATGTCTCTATAACTTTGTGGCTTTCATACTTTTACTCATGATGGTTGATTGGAATATGCATTTTTGCTTATTCTAAATTTGAGAAATACTCTAATCATTAGGATATAGTACCAATGCGACTCTTAATTCCTGAAAGCCCAATCCTTACTTGTATGATTGTATTGCACTCTGTCAAGCCCCATTGAGAAACATTTTTTTTAAACAAGTCACTTAGGGTGTTTAAAGTGAGTTCAGTTCCCTTTGGGGGTACTGCATGTTTGGCATTTTTCTGTGAGTTTCTTTTGGGTGATGTAGCTTTCATACTTTTACCCGTGATGTTGATTGGAATATGCATTTTTGCTTATTCTAAATTTAAGAAATACTCCAATTGTTAGGATACACTACCAATGTGACTCCTGAAAGCCTAGTTCGTACTTGTATGATTGTATTGCACTCTGCCAAACCCCATTGAGAAATAGTTTTTTAAACAAGTCACTTAGGCTGTGTGAAGCGAGTTAGGTTTCCTTTGGGGGTACTGCATGTTTTTTGTATGTGTTTCTTTTGGGTGATGAACTGATTTTTCTCGTGCTATGGCTTACATCTGTTTGCTTCATTTGCAGTTTTTCGTGACAATGTCTGGTCATACCCAACCCGAAGGACCACACCAACTTGATTCAAAACGTGCTGTGAATTCATGCCGAAAGAATGTGCCTGGTACATCGTTCGTCTCAGATTTGAGAGATCACATCCACGAGTTCATCAACGCCTCTGCAGATGAACACCGGACATGCTTCACAAAGACTATCAAGAGGATGTTCGAGATGTCAAAGATTGTCACTGAGAGATCCTCTGAAGCTGAGGAAGCTGGATCTGAAAGTGTCTTGCCACTTCAGACCACAGTGTCGCGGTAGAAGTGTCTACACTTTATATTGTCTCCAGTAGAAATAGGATAAAATGTTAATAACTAACTACGGGCTCTCAGGTGAGAAAGTAGATTCTCAGTAACCATGATTATCTTGTGTAGATAACACTTATCCACACTTTTGACTGATTTAAGATGTCCAGCTACATGAGGCATTTCTGTAACAACTCACCTGTGCAAAAATAGACCAAAAAGAAGAGGCTCATCTTTTCCACAATTTGTGTGCAAAAACTAGTATAGCTTACAGGTTTCTTTCTCCTCCGGCTGGATCATACTACGTACGCATCCTCTTCTTCATTGTCCTTATCTTTTTGGTAGGTGTTGGATGAAGCTGAAAATACTAGGTTAGACTGGCAGGAGTCTTGCTAGAGAGCTGTACCAAACAGGGTCTAAACTAGTAGAGTCTTGCTGAAGAGCCGTACTAAACTAGCATACCAAATAGGGCCTAAACTAGCTTTGAGTCCTGCTGGAGTGCTGGTAAAGCGAGCTGAGAGCCTGAGACTGCCCTGGCTGGGCCCATACGACCGCCTTTGGCGACGACGAATGCCCTAGCCCGAGGACGGGCCCAATCTCGACAGTTGAGTGCGCCATTTCCGTGTTCCATGTCAACCGCCCACCGCTCTGCGGTGGTGGAGGCGTGGAGCCGCCCGTTGTTCTTCGGAGAGAAAGCGTTGCCGAGATGGCTGCCGGTGTGTGGGCTCTTCTTCTAGCATGGGATGTGCAACTAAAAACGGTTATGGCAGAGGAGCAGTTTTGCTAATGAGCCCAACAGATTAAACTGAACGTTTTTTATATAGAAGCCAGCTAGCTAGTTGATTCGGTAGTCAAACTTGTCTTGATTTATGTAACATCCCAGGTGTTAAATGCCATTAAAAGTTTGATCAAGAGCATCATCATGCATAATCATCTAGTATTAAGTCACTAATGCATTTCATGTTTAAGTTATAGACATGATAAAGTTGGTTGTGATATGCTTCAAGTGATACATGAAATGTTTATAAACATCATTTAATGTTCTTTGTGAATTTATATATGTAAATTTGCTTAAACAATTAAAATTATGTGAAAATAAACTTTGTAGTTTAAAATGTGCTCTTTAATAGAGAACAAAAAGTTGTTGGATTTTCCAAGTCAAACATGTTTGAATCTGAGCGATTGGATTCTATAACTAATTTTCATCCTTAGTCATTTTTGCAGCTGAACATACTAGCAATTGAGAGGTAGTCTCATTGAAGCGACTATCAGGCTCTTGTAGCAACCAATCAAAGACTTCATTAAAACAATCAACTTGAAAATGATGCTTGTTGGTAATTCCAGATTTTTTTCTTGGCCTAGTTGGATCAATGTATGGCTCATCCATTTCTAGCTTGGAAATACCATGTTCATCACAAAATGCATACACTTCTCCAAGTGTTTGCTCCCATCCATCTCTTCTAACCTTATCCAAATGGCTTCTAGTAGACCTCACACAATTAACAACATTCACAATATCTAGATCTTTCCGTTGCAATGCATTTGACAAGACATTTGTGATAGTCAAAATGTTCAACATGAGATGCAAATAAAAGACAAATTCAAAAGACTAGAAGTACACAAGAACGCCCATTGCCTTTCCATCATTGTCCTCATCTTCCACAAATTCTAACACTTTGATAATTGTTTGGAACAAGTTAACTAGACTTCTACGATATTTATAGTGAGAACTCCAACGAGTATCTCCAGGTCTTTGAAGACATTGTTCTTGATTTAATCCTGTCCTAGTTTCAAGTAACCCACAACCTAAGGCCTTACTAACTTCTTTGAGATTGATGTCTCTAATCATGTCCCTTCTCTTTGAAGATCCACCCACCACATTCAACAAGATAGAAATCTAGCTAAAAAAATTCTGCAATGCCTGCATGCTTTCTAGCAACAGCTACAACCACTAGTTGAAGTTGATGAGCAAAGCAATGGACATAATATGCACTACTATTTTCTCTCATGGTCAATGATTTTAAGCCATTGAACTCACCTAGCATATTGCTAGCACCATCATATCATTGGCCTCTCACTTGCTTTATGTTAAGCTTGAACCTAGCAACTAGAGAACCAATAGATGACTTGAGGTTTGCATAAGTTATATCCTTCACATGAACAAGCCCAACAAATCTCTTCTTCACAACTCCACACCTATCAACATATCTCAGCACCATAGCCATTTGCTCCTTGCAACAGACATCTCTAGACTCATCAACTAGCAAGCAGAATACATCTTGCCCTATGTCTTCAAGAATGGAATGCAAAATCTCATCTATAAAACATTTAATGATGTCTTTTTTATATCGGAAGACACCAAAAGACTATTGTCTGCAGCATCAACTGTTAATGCCTTGGCTAAAGCCGGATCATGCTCAGCTAAGCATTGATAAAACTTCCTATAGTTCCCTCTATTGTAGGATGTCTTTGACTCATCATGACCCCGAAAAGGCAAACCTTGCTTTAGTAGCAATCTAGCAGTATCAATGGCACCATTGAGTCGAACATAATATGCATTCTTAGAAGACTCGAGCTGTTTGCGTAAAGCAACATCAATGTGTTGTTCTTTTTTAACAAAACTTCACATTTTTTCAATGCTACATTGTGAGGGCTGCCAACTCCACCAACATGCTCCTTTAATCTATCTTTATTATTCCAACAATTCCAACCATCTACGATAAATGACTTGTAACCAGCTCCCTTCTTAGTAGGGTCTCTAAACAAGAAACAAGTAAAGCAATATGCTTTATCAGTGGACTCGCTGTACTCAAGCCAATTTCCAAATTCATCAAACCCTTCTGGATTAAACCTTCTACATTTTGCTCCGGTCCAAGTCCCTGGAAAATCAAGAGTGCGAGGTTGACAAGGCCCATTTAGCAGATACTTTCTTCTTACTGAATCTCGAAGATTAGGATGATAAGCACGTATATCTTTCCTTTTGCCGGGATCAAATTGGATCTCCTCCTCCCAATTGATTTCCTCTGGAGCTGAAACACGAACATTGGTTTCTTGTTGATGAGGTTCATGAGAAGTATTAGCATTGCTAACAGGCCCCTGATTGCTAACATCATCTGGTGCTTTCCTTTTCAACCATCTGTCCATAAGCTTACCTGTCATTGCACGTTATTCCAAACAATTAAGTGAGAAAAAAAACAAATATTTCATTTGATCAAAGGTTCAAAGATGCAGAAGCTTACTCGACATTAGCTCCAGTGACTTGGCGATGAGCAGAGCGACTTGGCGATGAGCTCCAGCAGTCCTGCCGGCGCGGCAATCCGGTGGCCGTGATCCGTGAGGCGTGAGCCGTGAGCGACGTTTTCTCCCCTCGCGATGGTCGCAATTTTGGGCAGGCGAAGCGACAGCGTCGCCCACTTCGGCTCTCCGCTTCGTAGTCGGCGTAGAGTTACAGTCGCGGTCAAAGTTTCTACGTGAAGGAAACAATGCGTCATGCGTTCATTTAGTCTATTTCCTAGATATCCTAGCTGGGCCGACCGCACGGCAAGATTGGCCTGCTTGTGGCCTGTGAACGCATCAAGCATGGACTCACGGTGGTGCACATGTTTGGCCCAGAGTGGTGCACAGGAGGTAAAATTTACTTCCTGTTAACTTGTATTTTGATTTTACCCTGGTGCCGGTGCACTCGGGTCAGCCCACGTAGCTTTGCCCCTGGCGCGGCAATTCGGTGGCCGTGATCCGTGAGGCGTGAGCCGTGAGCGACGTTTTTTTCCCTCGCGATGGTCGCAATTTTGGGCAGGCGAAGCGACAGCCTCGCTCGCTCCGGCTCTCCGCTTCGTAGTCGTCGTAGAGTTATAGTCGCGGTCAAAATTTCTACGCGAAGAAAACGATGCGCCATGCGTTCAGCATTTAGTCTATTTCCTAGACATCATAACTGGACCGACCGCACGGCAAGATTGGCATGCTTGTGGCCTGTGAACGCATCAAACATGGACTCACGACGGTGCACATGTTTAGCCCAGAGTGATGCATAACAGGTAAAATTTACTTCCTGTTGATTTTACCTGGTGCCGGTGCACTCGGGTCAGCCCACGTAGCTTCGCCCCTGTTTCCATCGGGGTTCCTGGAGCGGACCAAGGACCGGGGCCTCGTCGCGGTCATGGGCGCCACATGTTGACGTGCTGCGCCACCCGTCGACAGGTGCGTTCGTGACGCACTGCGGATGGAACTCGACGCTGAAAGCCATCACGGAAGGGGTGCCGATGCTGTGCTGGACGTTCTACGCGGAGCAGCTGATGAACAAGGTGTTCGTGACCGAGGGAATGGACGTTGGGGTGGAGATGGAGGGCTACACGACGGGCTTCGTCAAATCCGAGGAGGTGGAGGCCAAGGTGAGGCTGGTGATGGAATCTGAGGAGGGCAGGCGCATCAGGGGTCGAGTGGCAGCACTCAAGAATGAAGCAATAGCAGCGATGCAGGACGACGGCTCATCGCAGACCTCGTTTGCCAGGTTCTTGTTTGATGCCAAGAATCTTCATGAACAGCTTGCATTGGCTAGTGAATAGTGATCGAGTCCTCTTGGCATTTAGACTATCTTGATTTCTGTAATAAATAGAATGCATGGAAACAGAACTGCTCGAACCAAACAACTTATGTACGTATAACACCACAGATTTCTAGTGCTAATAAAAAACATACAGCATTAGTTTAATTCTTATTTAACCCTTAGGATCTTGATTACCATGTCACAGAAATACCAAATCACACTTAATTGGAACTAACATGTGAGATGAATATCACTACGCTATACATGTATCAAACGCTATGCAGCTTTAATCATGTGAATTGTACCTAGCTATGTCTATATTTTCTACTCCCTCCATTCTAAATTATAAGTCATTCCAACTTTCTTTAAGAGTCAAAGCATCTCAAGTTTGATCAAAATTATAGAGAGAATTACAAATATTTGTGACATCAAATATGTATACTATACTATGAAAATATAATTAATGAAGTATTTAATGATGCTTAGCATCATAAATGTTGTTATTTTGTTATATGAATTTGGTCAAACTTGAGATGCTTTGACTCTTCAAGAAAGTTGTTATGACTTATAATTTGAGATAGATGGAGTACTATTTACATGAAATCGTTATGTGAATTGTAGCTTTAATTTGAGCTCTTGAACCACGTCGTGTGCAACAAACTTGTGCATTCATTAAACTATGTTGGAGAAATATTCTTTTCAACTTTATTGCATATATGAAATACTATGACATGAATATGCCTTAATTGAACTTAATGGAAGATGATGTGTATGATACTTAGTGGGAAATGATGTGGTACTTAGTGGAGAATGATACATAGATAGCTTCCATATGAAGATGGATTTTATAGTGAGGATTGTCTTTATAAGAGAGACAGATAATGGTATACACTACAAAAATATAGTTTTTTTATGTATCTCCTTTATTTTCAAAGATGATTCTTACTCGGTCCTGTCTAATACAAAATCCCCAGGGGCTCCATGGTCGAGGCCCATCTTTTGAACACTTATTTCAAGTAGTTGTTGGCTTAAGACGTCCGCCTCTTAAAATATATCTATTTCTAGAGGCATTTGTCTTAAACGGCCGCCTCTGTAAATATTATTTGAGACAGATAATTATGTCTATTTCAAGAGTTTGGATATATATTCAAATATAGCAAGTCCATCTCGTTTCTATGGTCTCCAACGCTCTTAAAAAAGCAAGTTGGACGGGTCATAGTTTAATGAATGCATAAGTTCGTCTAAAAACTAAAATAAACATTGCCCCAACCAAGCTCATTAATTGTTGCTCCAACGATCATAATTTTTTCAGGAGAACTGAGAATGATACGGTGACCTATGAATAATAGCACCAAATCATATAGTGGTACTTACGTAAATTCTGTGCACAGTTTACAGGAAATCACCTGATGATCCTCTAGTTTAAAACTATAAGCACCTGATCATATGGTGATACTGTTTTCAGCATATTGTCGTCTTAGTATTTTGACCTTATGTCCTACCATCAAAGTTCATTTTAACGATCTTGTACTTGTTGGAAAACTTCTGAAATGCTCTACATGGTTAGATAAAAAAAGCTAAAATATAATGAACCGGATGATCATGCTCTACATGATGGATGATAACCTGAGCTGGCAATGTTTATTTTAGACGAATGGGACAGTCCAAAACATATTCGACATTGGTATGGAGCATTAAACACAACGTCCAATCGGCCACATGCCTACAACTCAGAAACCTTAAGCTTAGGAGTACGAGGAAATACAGTGAAAAATATACTAGAAAAGGAATAATCCACCACAGCCTTTGCATCTGTGACAAGCTCCATCAGCCTGCTGCTCTGCTCGGCTGTGCTGCGCACGTCGCATAAATGTCCTCTCACAATTTACTGTAGCAAAAGCCAAAAAAAGCTGCAGCTGTAGTTGCAGCTGCATATCTCCAACAGCCTGTTGGGGCCTGCTTCACTTGCACATTTCAGAATGCGCTTCATAGTTCATACCAGCACGGTATCATCAGTGGCTCTACACAATCTTCCTAGGGATTAAAAACATTTGCTTCATATCTGTGAACAAACTATCCCTAAAGGCGTGTTTAGTTGGAGACCAAAGCTTGCCATGCCAAAGGTTGGACATGCCACAGTTTCTTCGGCAGCTGTTTGGTTCACTGCCATAGTTATAGCACGCCGAACTTTCCTAGCACCTTGCCCCACATGCCATAGACTCATTTTCGTGCCATAACTTGCCACAAGTTTGACTTCGATTTTGCTCACCACATTTTCTGTGGCAGCCACAGTTTGCCGAAGGTTAGGCGTGACAAGTTTTGGTCGCCAGCCAATCAGAGTGTAATAAGTTGTGCAATGTGCAGGATGCAACAGACACCCTTGCTGGCTGAAAAATGGCGTCAGACTATATGGTCCTTACATGCGGACGTGTCTGCTTTAGCTGAAAAAACAGTGGCCCAGCAGCCAGCAAGGTCTTCCAAAACGACTGCTGCCCAGAGGCCAAAAGCAATTATGAACCGTTTCCACACTCAGTGATCAGCATAAGGCATCAACAGAGGAATGCAAATATTCAACAGGCAACATGCCCAGGAGCACGGATCACCCCACATATAATTATAGCAAGCAGCATCGCAAAGAGACACGCCTCCACCTACTTGATATTATCATTCAATATTTATCAATCCAAATAGCAACATCCAGGGTCCCCAAAATAACAAAGATGGCATGCCATTGCATCAAGCTCCTCAGGAGCAGCCTTCAAAGATTGGATAGCAAAATTTACACGTAGTGGCAACTAAAGGTAAGGTAAAGAACCAATCCCTCTCCATTTCCTTCCCTTCTCTACCATATAAAGTACTAGAAGCTAGCTAAGCCAGGGCAACAAGAACAGCAGCAAAATCACAGATCAGAGTTACGAGAAGAGGAAAAACACTAATACCACCTACGGTCACCACTAGACACTTCTTGATTTAGAAGGGATTGCTCAGCTGTGTGTTTCATGCACTTGGAGCACCTGCTCTTGGTCCCTCACCTGTAGCGGGCTAGCGGCCACAACAAGTGCTGCATAAACAAACATTTTTTAGGAAAAAACACATCAGCTAGATGGAATATATTTTGTTCTCCATGAATCTTTGCAACAACTAACAACAAACCAAACAATAACAGGGACCAGCAAGTTACCCGCAAATGAAAAAAAAATGACCAATAGGTTACCTCTAAGGCTAAACAGCACTAACTTATGATCAGCGCACTTCAGCAGCTCCACAAGACAAATAGAGACACGCCACAAAGTAAGAGAAACCAAAACTCCCCGAGAACAACCTTCTTTGTTTAGCACATATATCATCATCGGTTATTCATAATTCCATATTTCTAAGTTGCTATAGGTGACGCTGACAGGTCCATGCTAACGAATCTACAGGATTAAAAATAGTGTCAGGTCTCGTATGGAGTGTGGAAGCTCATGTTAGAAATGACTTTCAGTTTCCTCTCATGTTAGATAACTCACTGGCTCAGCCTAAATTTAAAGTCATTTTAAGATCAGATCACCTGTCCTGGACATGTATACTAGATGAAGAAATTAACTGAGTTCTTCTGCATATCTAGCAAATTTAAAGGATTATCCATGATAAAACATCATAGTGTTAACACAGTTTTATACATATTCCTCTTCTATAAAGTCTTAATTCATCAATAATATTTTCATGTCACTAGCTAGGATGCTTATCATAAATATTGGCTAATACAAAACTAAGCAAAGGTGTACCTGGTGTGTAGAAGCTCATGTAGGGAACAATGTTGTAGATGCCCATGCGCTCACCTATCTTTGTAATCCGACCAGACTTCAGATCAATAGCAAATCGGAAACCACCTGTTCCCACGAAAATGGCAGCAACACCATCCACGAAACAATTCACAGCGAGCACGTCCATCAGGATACCTAACGGCCTGAGCAGTGTCTGTAGATCGATTACTCGGCTTTGTGCCCATCCTGCATATTTCTCAGAACCAGCCTCCCTCGACCACAAGTAGAGTTTGGACTCATGCACGCCAGTAAATCCCAGCCTACCATCCACCATCTTCACTAGAGCAATGCACATATAGTTTGTACATGGCAGACGAATCAGAGATGTTTCCTGTGTTTCCATATCATGTTCCAGAATTTTCTTACTCCTCCGACAGTAATCAGAGATAAAGTAGAGTGTATTGCCCACAAGGACGCTAGGGGAGAAACGGACCCAGGCACGGCGGAGCTTAGTAGAGGTCGGTTCGCTCCACGCACCAGTCTCTGATGAGTAGACACAGGTGAAGGCCTCCCTGGGGGCAGTGCACATGAAGACCACGAGGAAGGAGCCTCCGCTGTGGCAGTCGATGTGATCGCAGATGCCATCTGCCGCAGCACAGAGCACCGCGGCGGTCCAGCTACACGGTAGCCGGAAAAAAAGTTGATCCGGCAACTTGGGCAGCGGCCACTGCTCGTCCGTGATGGGATCCCAGACAAGGAGGTCACCCGCCGACCGCATCGGGAGGTCGTTCCCCCAGGGCGGCAAACTGTGGAGGACGACGCGGCCGCGGCGGGAGTCGGCTGCACACCAATTGCTGCGCATGGCGTGGGGGACTGGGACGGAGGAGGTAGGAACGAAGGAGGATACCAACCCCCGGGTGTAGAAGACGCCCAGCATCGGGGGCGCGCGGTGGAGCTCGCGGAACCGGCGGCGGAAGACAAGGGAGGCGCGAACGAGAAGCTCCGGTTCTTCGGGAGGGAAGCGGAGGATGATCTCGTCGACGAGATCGTCCATCAGCACTGGCAGCGACATCCCGCTCCGCTCGGTCTGATCGGACCTCGGCGGCGGCGGTAGGGTTTGGTGATTTTGGTCGGTTGGCAACGGCGAGCCGCTAGCCTGGTTGGGTTCAACCAGCTCGAGAGGTGAGGCCTTGCAGGCAGGAGGCAGCCAGAGCCGACAGGGAGCTGTACTGTACACTTGTGAGATTTTGTTTTTGAATTTTTTTTCCTCCTTTTATTCTCGCCCTCCATGGCCGCGGCTGAGGGCCTGGAGCACAGTAGTCAGGAGGTCAGTAGCAGTTCAGCAATCAGCAGAGGAAGATGCAGAGGAAAAAGGAGCGACGAGTGACCGTGCGAGGACTAGAACCAGACCTGCTTGCGGACTCACGGACGGAGAGGCGCTGGTCGCGTCTGCCTGACTCGCAGTCGCGGCGTCGGGCGTCTCGCTCGCCCCGTCGTCGCCGCGGTCGCGTGCTGGCCCTGCAGTCACTGTGCACTGTGGCACCTATACGTCAGCATCAGGAGACAAGACAACCCCAAACTTTTCACCGTTTCGGATCCCTTTTGGTGTCGCATCTCTACCGTATGATGTCTCCCTAGCCGAAGCATGAAGGCCAACAGAACAAGACCAGTAGCGAAATCACACATCCTACGAGTTAAGGAGGGGGAAGAAATACCCCACTAATGCCACCTACGATCACAACTAGATACTTCCCGTTTAGTTCCACTTCAAAATGCCAAATTTTTCAAGATTTTCCGTCACATCGAATCTTTGGACGCATGCATGAAGCATTAAATATAAATAAAAAATAAAACTAATTACACAGTTTAGACGAAATCTACGAGACGAATCTTTTAAGCCTAATTAGACTATGATTGGACACTAATTGCCAAATACCAATGAAAACAGATACAATGTCATTTTGCAAAAAAATTCGTCATCTAAAGTGGCCCTTGCTTCTTGTTTAGAAGGCCTTGCGCCATTGATTCTTTTCATGCAGTCAAAAACTCTCTTGGTCCCTCACCTGTAGAGGCTGCTCCAAGTGCTGCAGAAACACATTTTTTATTAAAATAAACATCAGAAGAATTTGGAAATCATATGCTCTTATTGAAATTTTTTCACTCACTAGCCACAAGGACCAGTAAGTTGCTCCTAATGACTAACCACCAGTTAATAATCACACTTGTACAAACTAAGTGAATGAATGGAAACTCAAGAGAAACGCCAATTTTGTTCAGCAGGTATATCATCATCAGTTATCGATATTTTTTATCTTGTTACGTGATAGTGAAAGGTCACAGCCAAGAAATTTCACGGGGTTAAAGATAAGAACAGGGATGATATACATATCTGGAGCATACAAGCACATCGAGGGAGTGATCCTTTTGTTCCTCTCCAGCTGGATTGCTTTCTCAGTCAGACTAAATTTAGATCACTTCTCAAGACCCCAACATTCTTCCCTAACATTTCTAACAAATGAATAAATTTCTATACAGAGCAGCCAATTTTGACAGGACTGTCCATAAAAAGAATAGGGTAGGAGTAACACAGTTTTAAAGATATTCCCCATTCATACAACTTTTATTAGTATTATAGTATACAGCATACACATACCATCATCCATATTATTAAGTTACTAGATAGATGAAATATTACTAATTCTGAATATTGACAAAACCAAAACTAAGCAAATTGAAACCTGGAGTGTAGAAGCTCATGTAGGGAATGACAGGCCAGGCGACGTTGCCCTCAGGTATCTTAATCTGGAGGACTTCAGATCCAGAGTGAAGAATGCACAATAAGGGCCCATGAAAATGGCAGCAACACGATCTTCAAAGTAAATTATATCAAACGAAGCGGGCAGGGTACCAATTGGCAAGAGCAATGGCTGGAGATCAATGGCTTGGCATTGTGCCCATCCCGCGTATGCCTTGGTACCAGACACCCTCGACCACAGATAGAGTTTCGACTCATGCACAGCAGCGAATCCCAGGCCACCATCCGCCATCGTCGTGAGCGCAATGCGCCCATAGGGTTTGTGTGGCAAGCGAATCGTAGATATCTCCTGCGTGCCCAAAACATGTTTCAGGATCCTTTTCCTCCTCCCGCCATCATCAGACATGAAGAAGACTGCATTCCCCACAACCGCACTGCGCACGGCCGGATGGACGGGGGCACGTCGGAGCCGAGCAGAGGCTGGCCCGCTCCATGCATCAGCCTCCGACGAGTAGACACAGGCGAACGCCTCCCTGGAGCTGGTGCACACGAAGACGACGAGGAAGGGGCCACGGTGGCAGTCGAGGTGGTTGCAGCCTCCGCCCGCTGCAGCACAGAGCACAGCAGCGGTCCAGCAACAGCAGAACGGATACGGGTGAGGGTACATGTGGTCCGGCAGCTTGGGAAGACGGTGATGCTCGCCCGTGATGGGGTCCCAGACGACAAGGTCGTCCCCCGAACAGTTGAACGTGAAATCCCAGGACGACGCGGTGTTGAGGAGGACGCGGCCATGGCGCGCGTCGATGGCTCGCCCGTTGACTGGGAGTACAGCGCAGGGCAGAGGGGCGGAGGAGGTGGGGACAAAGCGCGAACCCGATGAGTCGGTGCAGAAAAGTCCCAGCATCGGGGCCGCGCGGTGGTACTCCCGGAACCTGCGGCGGAAGCTGGGGTCCGAGATGAGGCGCAACCAGCGCTTGCAGACGAGTGTAGCGCGGACGAGGCGCTCGGGCTCATGGGGAGGAAACCGGAGGAGGATTTGGTCGATGAGATCGTCCGTCAGCGCCGGCGGCGGCATGATGAACGCTGCCGGCGGCGCGAGGGTTTGGTCGATCGAGATTCGAGGAGAAAATTGAATTTTTGCCTCTATAGCAAGCGGGTTTCGTTCAAATGCTATACACGTTATTTTGCCATTTCCTAATTTTAGACTACCTTAAAAAAATTTCAACCCAAAATTTTACCTGCTCTGACCATTTTACCCCTGCCTCCGTTATTCCTCGTTCTCTCTTCTCCTCACGGACAGTAAGTCGTCTCTCTCTCTCGGCGGGGATATCTCCCGGGCGAGAGCAGGACGCCGGCGGCCACCGTCCCGGGCCGCTCCTCCCCAAGCGCGCCGCCCCATCGTGAGTCGTGACTGAACCGCATCATCCCCCACGCCGACTGCTCCGGCGAGTTAGGCATGGCCATCCTCCTCCGCGGGCGCAATGGCTACTGGCCCCTCCTCGGCACTGCTTGCCACCACCTTCCGCAGCTCCCACGGCCGCCTTATACGCCTTATGTCGTCTTATGTGGCCGCTTTTTATGTGGCCCGCGCCACCCAGACGCTTCGAGGATGCGGCCGTGGCGGCCTCTTTCATTGGTGGCTCGAGCGGGCGTTCGCAGGTTCGGCAATGCGCCTTGGGAGGAGCGGCCCGTGGTCGTGCTCCCGCCCGGGAGATCGCCCCGCCGGGAAAGACATAGAGACTAGACGAGAAGAGACCCTGCGATCTAGCCCGGGAAGCGGACGCTGCCGTCGAACTGCAACGACCGAATGGCCTCGGTGGGCTGGAAGGACTGGAGCGACGGTGATGAAAGACCACCATCACCATCTGGCGGATAAGAAGCCGGACGGACGCGATCCCACCACAAACATCACGCCGCACTCCCATGGCTTGGCTTGGGCCGCCGCTTCGGGGCGAGGGTGGCCGTCTTGGGCGGATGATGGCGCGAGGCTCGGCCGGGGCGCTCAAGGGCGGCGCTCTGCCTTTCATGAGCGAGCGAGAGAGAGGGAGAGGGGAGAGAGAGCGGGGGTCAATGAGCTTAGGGGCAAAATGGTCAGTTCAGGCTAAAATTTTGGGTGAAAAATATTAAAAGTGGACTTAAACCTTAAAATGATATTATAACGTGTTGAACTCGTTTCATAAGAATATTTCAACGGAGGCCACAAATTTGATAGTATTTGGGCGAAGCCCACCTGCCATGAAGGTAAATTTCCAATTTTGTCGAGGGAGGCGAAGAGGTGACGGCTGACGAGTAACGACGAGACAGGCCGGCCCAATTGCCTGGTGGGGTTCAACCAGCTCGCTTGGTGGGGTCTGCTAAGTGGGGCCGAGGAGGGTGGGTCTGCTAGGTGAGGCCGTGGAGGCAGTGACAGTGGCGCTGTTGCGGTACGACTGGATTTACATGCAAGCCCTCAAATGGTACGTTTGGTTGCAAGTAGACCCAAAGAGCATGGCCAGTTATTTTGGAGGTAGGGTCAGGAACATGAAGATATCCTCTCCGCGTCGCCATGTTCGCTTACGGGACCGTGTTTTTCTCCCCAAATAAATCGGCTTGAGACGGCTTATTCCCCGTATAAATTATGTTGTGGGAGAAAAACATTATTCCATAGCTGATAAGGTACGCTGATAAGTTCAAGTGAATAGGGCGACGATTGCGGAGGATTTACCTGAAGCCAAATGCAAAACGCCATGAAAATATGATTTGCAGGTAGTTACACGGAACAGGAAGATTCAGCAGTTTTTACTTTTTATTTACAACAGCTGAACTCGAGCACCAACGTAACTACTGATCAACAAATCCTATGCAATTAAAGATTCAGATTAAATATGAAGGTTCTGTGTGGCTGTGGCCGCACTATACAATTGATGTTGATGTTTTAGAGAACATTTACTCTGTCCGTTTAAATTTATAGTTGACTTTAGGTTTATTGTAAGTCAATTTTTTTTAGATTGAACTAAATTGTAATAGTAAAATGAATCAACATCAACAATGTCAATTTAGTTTCAATCAATTCTACATAAAAGATGACTGGATAGTACATACAATAGAATTTGTAGATGTTAATATATTTTGGAAAAGAAACTGATCCGAATTTGAGGAGTGAAAAATACATCAGGAAGTGAAAAAAAAATCATGTCTGACTCTGTTCCTACTACTTTCTAGTGCTAGTCATTGAGCAGAGCTGAGGTATATGGCAGACACTCTTCCTTGCTATGCATTTAGGGCCTGTTTGGCAGAGCTCCTCTTCCGCTCTAGCTTATTCGGAGGAGCCCTGCCAAACAGTCTAGGTGGAGGAACCTTTTTAAGCACTTTTTTAGTGAAAAAAGGAGGAGCCGTGGCTCCTCCAAAACGGCTCCAGCTCATGTGGAGAAGCCCTCTTAAACACACACTTAATCTAAGCTTAGGGCGTATTTGGCAGAGCTCCTTCGGGCTTCGGCTTCTCGCTACAGTACCGGAGGAGCTATAAATCGTGGCTTCTCCCGGCACCCGGTTCATTTTGACCGGAGAGAGAAAAACGACTCCTATAAACAATGCTGCTACAATATAAGATGTAGGAGGAGCCGGAACCCCAAAAAGCCCTACCAAACAAGCCCTTAATTGGTAATGCTGTTCAAATCTCAAGAAATGAATGTCCCCAAATACATTATCAAATGACCATGCAGTGCAGGGTACGAGGTTCATATAACTTCATACGGTACATACCTCCATGCATGTGGCCGCCTTCAGAAAATATATACTAGTCAGCAAAATATATACTAGTCAGCTGCGGCGATCTTCAACGACCACATTGTGAAACTAAGTCAAACAAACAGAAACAGAGCTGAACCGTTTTGTGAAGTAGCCACCATTGCACCCATAAGAGAGCGTACAATCCACAATCTACAAGACAACCGATCATCTATTCATTTTAGCATTATCCCGCATCACAGTTCAGAGAGTTCAAGCAAACACCTTCAGCTACTAGATACCAGACATTGAGCAAAACTACATGTAGTCAACCTCAAAGGCTCAAACCCAGCTAACATTACAAGCATGACCCATCCTCCACACACCATCCGTAATGACACAGCAGCAGAGGAAACACACACAACACAGCGAGCGGCAGAGAAAGCTGCAGCAAAGCCACGCGCAGCCCTGACCCCTGAGCCACCCTATGCACATAGCACCTTATTGACACAGCACGGCACCATGAGCTTTCAACATATTATTATACAACATATGCCACATAGTAGATAGGAAACAATACACATAGCGGTATCTACGATATATCACAGTAGAGGTAAACCCGCGACTCATCCCCGTTCCCCTCTTGATGTCTTCTCTCCTCCCTGTCTACCTTAGGTGAAGTAGATGCTTGTCAAGGAACAAAACAAGTGTGATGGTGCAGCCAGTTCACACTTCGAAGGGAGGAGGGTGGCTGGTCGTCCCTGGTGGGGTTGCCCTCTCATATGCGTCGGATGATGATTTCCTTCTGAAGCGACCACCTAGTAAATTTAGTATTCAAGGTTAAGCAATATCCAACCAACAGAACGAAACAGATGATGCTGATAGCACTCAGAAATATTAAAAGCCCATTAATACATGCAGCTAAACATAAGCTTCGCCTTTGAGGGAAATCAGTTGTATTCTCTTATGGTCCATGTTAGTCACAGTGACAAGTGTGGATAAAAATAGAAGGCCAGCCAGAGATTATTATATACTCCGTCCGTCCAGGGATATAATGGATTTTCCATTGTACTAAACAAACCATGCTAAGTTTGACCAAGATTGTAGAAGAGAACAAAAATATTTACGATATCAAATGAGTTTTAGTAGGCATTAGACACGTTATGAAACGTATTTTGTATAGTTTACCTCCTTGATGTGGTAGGTGTTACTATTTTTACAATGGTTTGACTCAGGACAACTAAAAATCATCAGGATTGAGGGAGTACACACTATAAAATAACAACTTGCTAAACTAAAGCATGGTTACATATTTTTCAGAATTGGAATCAAGACACTGAAACGATTACAACTATCCTTCTTTGTATAATTGATTCTAGACAACCATCAACGTTTAATTGATACATAGGACAATTTACAGAAGGTGTTTCAAATTAATTTTCATATCACAACAGCAGCTTCATAGAATAATTTGTATACCAGGGCTTCATGACAGATTAGTAAAAATATCTGACTCAGCTACCTAATTCACTGACTCTGCTGTGAAATGGTGGCTGCCCTCTTGACTAGAGGCTCAGTCGTCCACTCTAAGATCATCAACGAAACATCTACTCGTAGCTTAAATTAGGCAAGACCATTGATAGAGACAACTTCTCATGTGTATTGCTAAACAGCTACTACCTTGTACTATGATAAAGCAGGCCCATAAGTGATACATACAGATCAAACGATCTCTATCATTGGATTCATATTATTATTACATAAACAAAAAAAGCAAGTCAATTTTCCTCTTGTTGCCTACCCCACATAACCCCAATGATAGCTACGTTTATCCGATATGATTGCTGCATTTCAAGACACAAATGATAACTTATCAACTAGTTAAATACGATAATATCCAGCTATGAATCCACGATGGAGACCCCAGAGCTAAAAGCACCCACTGCCACTGGGCAGAAATGTCCAAAACGCCCCTTCCCCAGTACGCCCCATCTAGACACTTCCTAGCTGGGCGACAAATCCGAAAGCCACCCGTCACGACGCTTCCAATGAGGCACGGCACGGGTGCGCGGTCCGGAAATGACATAACTGCCCCTACCCGTACCCGGGAAAAATGGACGCACGCGAAGGGGGCTGCCGAGTCTCTGGCAGGGCACTCACCGGCGCCGGCAAACGGCGAGATGGGCGGGGTAGTCCCGAGTGGCGAGGCCGGCGGCGTGCTTGCGGCGCTCCTCGGCGACGACGGGTACCCCGCGGGGCGCTTGATCATGATGCTGCGCGTCACCTTCACCGGCGTCTCGTCGCTGCTCGAAGCCGGCGAGGGCGGCACGAACGCCGCAACGTCCTCGGCCGGATCTACACGGTCGACGAAACCACAAGTCAGATCGAATGGGGCATGTTTTTTTTTTCAGCAGCGGCGGTCACCAGCTCACTCACCATTGATCTTGACGGCGGCGGGGCGCACGGGCTGCTTGCGGAGGCGGCCGAGGCCGGTGTCCGGGCGCGGGCCCGCGAAGGTGTCGTCCCACAGCTTGTCGAGGAGGCCCATCCCTCTCCGTCGTAATCACCCAACTGCCGCTGCCAGACCACCGATCTGGTGCACAGTCCGTAGTCCTCTACCCACGAAACTTCCGGATCTGGGCGAGAAGAAGGTATGAAGCCAAGCAGGCAGCGCTTATTTATAGATCAGTCGGGAGCTCGGCCGGCCAGTTCTCCCTAGACTCGGTTCATGGACCGCGGTACGGATGCGGGTGGGGACGGCGAGAGGTGGCGCAGGGGTGCACGGTGGTCCGTTCACGTCAGTCGTGGCGGGTTGCGGGGCGCGGAAGGCAGGACGTGGCGCGGCCGGGGCGGGTGCGTGGATAAGATCGATGGGGTCGTGCACGTGGGGTGGCCCGCCTGCCGGCCTGTCGCGGGACGCCGGGTGGACGTCTCCTGGCGGGCGTCACGTGACGACCCCACCGGCTCCGGCCCATCCCGTGGGAGCTCAGCCGTATAAATAGTGACGTTTCTGGATGGTTTTGGTGTAACGTACGACGGCCTCATCTACCAGAAGGGGCTGCCATGTGGGACAAGGATCCTGGTGGGATAGGCTGTGGCCTGTGGCTGCGAGGTGCGTTAAGCGTGAGGTTTCTTGTAGGAATATAGTTCTTTTTGGAGGCCGGTAGCCTGCGCCGATAATTGATCAAGGTCCAGCAGCAGTAATTTTGACTTGACCGACTATGATCACGCTTCCATGTTCTACCTGTAGTGCAGATACAGATGCACCCCCTCACTTTGAAACTACAACGGGTGTTGACTTTTCTAGATATAGTACGTTCTAAATTATAAGTTATTTTAAATTTTTTATAGAGTCAAAATATCTTAAATTTTACTAATTTATATAATAAAATAATAATATTTATAATACTAAATAAGTATATTAGATTCTTTATTAATTATATTTTCGTACTATATCTATTTGATATCATAAATCTTTATATTTTATCTATAACTTTGGTCAAACTTAAAGATACTTTGACTCTCTAAGAAAGTTAGAATGACTTATAATTTGAAATGAAGGAAGTACTTTAACTTTAAGTCTTTAACTACAATATATATCTGTAGCAAAAGCTATGTATACGTCAAATGACTTATAATTTTGGATTACATAAATTTACTATAAAATTATAATATTTACGTCAATGAAACCCATACATTATCCACTAACATATATTTAATATTTAACTATACATATTATAGCATGACACGTTATCCACTAACATTTATTTATAATAGTTTATCTTTTCATATAAGTCACTATATATGATTTAATTTCATTTTAGATCGTTCGTAATTACCATAACAATACATATGATATGCTTCTAGTGTCTTACTTAAATGAATTAATTTCTGTAGTCGTCTTAAGTCATTTAAAAAAATTTGACCAAACTTATAGGAAAGAGCGCCAAAATTTATGACACCTAGTATCACTAGAGACACCAATAAATATATTTTCATATATTGTATTCATTTTGTGTCATAAATATTTCTGCAATTTTCTATAAATTATGTCAAATATAAAAAGTTTGACTTAAGACAATTTTAGAAATTGATTTATTCAGATACAGATGTACGATAGTATAAAAAGTAAACACAACTAACTTTCTATCTCAATTCTCAACATGCAAACCATCCACCCCATCTTTCATTAAATATCTACATCATCTCTCACTAAATGTCATGTACCTCGATAAATATATTTCTAGTTTTTTAAGAATAAATAGATTTCTAGTTAAAGAATTTGTCTACAAATAAATCAATCTCTGAGAGGCTGAATGGTCCATTTTTTTCCTCAAAGTCTCCTGGCATTTACAGCACCCCTTTCATCTTCCAATCTAGTGTTGAGTTTCTACGTATGGATATGTGTAGTGAATGTTATAATTAATGCGCTATTGGAACAATCACCGAATAGTGTGCAAGTACACTTGTTAATTATCTATTTATTTAGGGGTAGAGGAGTAGTATTTTCGACAATGAATTTTATGTCTGAAGCTAAATATGTTCAATTGAATGGTTGTTTGAGTTTTCAATTCACTTGTAATAATTAAGCGCTAATAAAACTTGACCAACTATAGGTGATTATCACAATTAAACCAGTTTTGGTTTTACCTTGCTCAAAGTCTTGCATTGCATGTCTTCTTTACCATGCTTTGTAAGAACGACATGTGCTCAATGTTACTGTTTTTACTACCCCTCTAGTCTGTTACGATGAGCTGCTTGGAAAACGAAGATCTGATGGAGTTTTTTTTTTTTTTGAACCGAGGGTTAAACCCCATTTCCATTTCTGGCATAATGGAAATACAATGTTTTAAGAGTAATATCAGAAGTGAGAACCCAAAAATAGAAGCAAACTAGAGAGCCAACGAAACCTGACGGAGTTTTTATAATCATACAAAGAGTCCAAAATTGATCCGAGTCACATATACGTATGAAACTTGTGCCGAGTATGCGTATAGTTAGTGGTTTTGTTATTAAAATCCGGTGTGACATTGGATAGTCTGGAGATAGCGTCCACGTGTCTAGAGCTCAGTACCTGCACCCAACGCCCGCCCGTATCACAATTCACATCCCGTGCCACGAGCTCACTCGCATCGCGCGGCAGCAACCGCGCCCCCACGTCCGCATGTGAACCACAACGGCGCCCAGGCAGTAGCACCAGGCCTGTCGCGCCTATACTGCGGCCGCACGTGAAACGCGGCGGCGCCCCCGCAGCAGCACCAGGGACAGCGGCAGGCCGTTGTCCGCTAGCCACCAGCACGCATTGCAACATGTGCAACACCCCGATCTACTTTTAAAATATAAAGATGGAACATTTGCAACATACAACTGAAACACATGCTCTTGAAATATGCGTGTATAGCCATAGCAACATATGCAACATCCAGATCCACTCTTGCAACATAAGTTATGAAACATCTGAAACGCATGAAAACAAACACTCGAAACATGCGTGTGTAACCATAGCAACATATGCAACATATAGATGAAACACTTAAAACATACGTCTAAAACAATTGAAACACTTTGAACATAGGCTTGAAACATGCACATATTGTCATTGCAACATATGAAACATCCTAGATAAGCTTTTGCAACAGATGAAATACTTAAAACATAAGTCGGAAACGTCTGAAACACTCGAAACATTGCGTCGCTCGACGTCTATGGCCTACCTGGTGGGGGACTACCGTAGCCCGCAAACTTGGGTTTAAGGGGACGTCAAGAGCAACGACTGGCGACCTCCTCCTATTGACGCGCGTGGGTGGTGGTGGCTTTTTGCATGCCATGGCCGCGACGAGCAAGGCGGGTGGTGGCGCTCGAGTGCGGTGAGAGGAAGGATGGCGGTCGGCTGGGTGCGGTGGAGAGCGCCACGGTGCGGTCGCTGTGGAGAGCGGTGGCGATTTGAGAATGGGTGCGATTGCGGCGACGATTCGAGAGGAAAGTGAGCGGATATTTTTTTATTCAGAAATACTATGGAGCAACGCGAGCGATTGTGCGAATGGAATAACAATGTTGGGCTGTTCGGGCGGCGTCGAGACCGACAAACACGGGCGTTCGGACGCACTACCCACAACATTTCCGTTTTTTTGAAAAGGCTGTGGAGTATTTTTTTTTTCTTTTGAGTGGATGGCAGAGGAGACAAAATAACGATTTTCTGATGGAGGCGGCAAATCGGCCGAACTTCGGAGGTCAAACGCACTTCGCCCAGTAACTCGCTTGGGCTCAGACGTGCTTCCTTCGGTTTCACCTGAGTTTGTCTACAGCCCAACTGGAGAGACATCTTGGCCCGGCCCAAGAATCTAACACACCCCATTCCGCGCGAGTCGGGAGCGTACCCTAGACGCCAGCCGCTCGACACGGCCGAGCCCCCAGCTCCCGGCGCCTCCAGCTCCAGCCTTCAGCGTTCTGCTAGGCCGCCGCAGTTTCCCCGCAACGCCGCCGGCCGTTCGTTTCCCCTCTCCGCCCCGCCGGATCCTTCCCTCGCTCTGCTCGTGACCCCAATGCCGAAAAAGGCCGCCATGCGGCGCGGCAAGCCGCCCGCCCCCGGCCAAGGGAAGAGGCGGCGCCACGGGCCGCAGCTCTCCAAGGCGATGCGTCGGGAGCTCGACGCGATGGGGCCTGGCCCTACCCGCGGATCCGACGACGAGGAGGGGTCTGACGCGGTGGCCGAGGACGTGTACGAGTACGAGGAAGGGGTGCCCGAGGAGGAGTCCGGCAAGAACGGCCGCTACGACGCCGTGGCCAAGTACGAGTACAATTTCGACAGCGACGCCTCCGATGCGGTGCGGTGACCCCTCCTACTCGATGCACTGGGTGCACTGGGTCACTAGCAAAGAGATTGATGAGATGGTGTTATTATAAGCATTTGAGTTGGTCTCGAACTCGCGCCGAATTATGTTCGCATTTGTGTTTTTCTAGGATGAGGATGTGCCTTCGGAGGAAGGCGAGGATATGGAGGAAGATGATAATGACGACGGTGATGATGAGGACAAGCAGATAAGAATACTTCAGGAGACGACTGGAATGCCCAGAGAAGCTTTCGGTGGTAAGCTTTTTTGCTTTTTTTTTATCCTGTTGACGTTGCATATTCATAGACATTTCATACTGCTAAAACTGCAAGGTGCTAAACAATGTTGTAGCTCTCTTGAATAGATGATGTTTACCGAACTAATAAAACTATAAAAATGTTCTCTAACAATCTCCCCTTTCATGAGAGGATCTGAAACTGGTGGTCAAAATTGAGTTAGTGTGTATCATTTGGGGTTCAAAATCTGAAATAAATTTGTCCAAACAGGAAAGAAGAGGAAACAGCCATTGGAGCTGCCTCTGCAGCATGGTGATGGAGATGGACCTGTCACAATTCATGATCTCTTGGACAACGTCCAGGGGAAACCTGGGTATAGCAAGATCCGTAAGAGGCTGCAGCAGCAGGAGAAAAAACGGATGGTCGTGCTAGCCCCACTTCCAAAAGTAGAGAGGGACAAGATTGAGCGCAACGTGACGTTTCAGAAATCCAAGAATGAGCTAACAAAGTGGGAAGGAATTGTGAAGACTAACAGGGAAGCTCCTGTACTATACTTTGAAAATGATACCAACTTGGGTGTGAACACTGTTGCGGCAATTGCTAGCGAATTTAAACCAAGGACTGAGTTTGAGAAGAGGATTGCTGAGATTACGCAAAGTACTGATATAATAGAAGCACACAAGAACGATGGTGCCAAAATCCTGGAACTTAACAAGGTATCTTTGATGATCTCATTGCACTGCGTTAGTTCTACTGATCTTAACTAGGTTCTATAACAGTGCTGACTGCTATGCACGCTTAACCTGTTTACTATTACATTATTTTCGAAGCCATGGAACATTCTTTCTAAATAAGTTAATGAACTTATGTAGATTGATGTGGAAGATGTGAGAGAACGCCAAAACCGCCTTGCTAAGATGCGCAGCCTTCTATTTCGCCATGAGATGAAAGCAAAGCGTGTGAAAAAGATCAAGTCCAGGACATATCACCGGATGTTGAAGAAGGACAAATTGAAGGCAGCATCAGCAGATTTCGAGGCAGATCCTGAAGCTGTCAAAGATCATGCTAGGAAACAAGAATTTAAACGGGCAGAGGTAAATCATTACTCGTGCTTTTCTCAGTTATAGGATAATTTCCTCATTGGTCTCCCCCACCAACGTCGCGAATTTATCTGAAATATTTATAGGAAAGGATGACATTAAAGCACAAGAATACATCACAATGGGCAAAGCGAATCATCAAGCGTGGATTGTCTGTTCAAGATGAAGGCACCCGAGCTGCTATTGCAGCACAGCTCCAACAAAATACTCTTCTGACTAGAAAAATGAATTCCATGAAAGATGATTCTAGTAGTGAAGAAAGTTCAGATGACGATGAAGACGAGAGTGACTCAGAAGCAAAAATCTTAAACAGAGGGAAAGAAAAGATTCTTAAAGCTCTTGAAGAAGACAATGAGATACCGAATTCTGCAGTTTTTTCGTTGCCTTTCATGGTGCGTTTTCATTACACTGTCTGTGCATTTGTTTAGAAAAAAAGTATATTTGTTAGCACTGTTGTGATTCTGTCACCACCATAATCGCATTTCTCTGCTTATTTACAGGAGCGTGCTATGAAAAAACGTGAGGAAGCAACTTATGAGGAAGCACGACAGGCTCTTGAAGAATACGATGATTCCTTGAAGAAATTGGAGGAGAATAACACTGAACAGAATGAAGACTCAATTAAGGTGTCAGGTAAAAGAACATTTGGGCCTGTCAAAAATACACACGAAGAGTTCAAGAAGAGGAGAAAATTACATGATACTGAAAACAGCAGTGATAGCGAGTATGATTCTGAGCCTGCCCAACATTTGAGCAATAATGAAGTAACTATGAAACATGATGATATCCAATTGGGGAATGCACTACTGGATGATGAACCGCAGAATGATATATACAAAGTAAGACATTCATACCTTCAAGTTATTGTACCATGTGTTTTGGATAATGTAATCTGATATACATTTGTTGCATTATGTAGAGCTTTAATGATATCATAAAAAATCCTCGTCCTAAGACAACTTTTGAAGTTGGAATGTTAGCTGGTGATTCATGGAAGAAGGTAGTCATTCTGGTATCTTGCTGTAGCTGTTTATTTCCTTGTCTTATTTTAAGCTTGCTAACTCTTGTTTTCACCAGGTCAAAAGTAATAAAGGAAATGGCCAGAGCAATGGCAATGGCATTACCAATAAATCCAAATTACCAGTTCCTTCTATTGTAGACCCAAAGCCTAAGGTTTGCCTTAACTATGGTCTACAGTTCCTATTTGTAGGTCCATTCATTATTTTGCTTATTTCGTTTTGCACGTTGTTGTTTGAGTAGCAACAGGATCACAAGTCTGATTCAGATTCCGAGGAAGAGATGGTCGAGGGCTTCTTGACTGTCTCTGACAGAAAGGAGAACTATGAACTTCCATCGCAAGCTGATCTCATACGTCAGGCTTTTGCTGGTGATGATGTTGAAGCTGAATTTGAGAAAGACAAAATGGATGTTTTAAATGAGGAGAATCCTGAACCTGAAAAGCCTGCTCTTGTTCCTGGCTGGGGCCAGTGGACAGACATCCAACAGAAAAAGGACTTCCCTCATGGATGATAAAAGAACATGAAGTTGCTAAAAGAAATAGACAAGAAGCCTTGAAGAGGAGGAAGGACTCAAGCTTAAGCACGTCATTATTTCTGAACATGTAGATAAGAAGGTAAAGCTGTATTTGAGTCGTTACATACACATGCTCAGTGTGGTTTATGTTTCTGTTGTTTATGTAAAGTGCATACCTTTGCTGTTCCATTACAATTCTGGAACAAGAATCTTAGTTCACTAGATGTCCTTTAGTTTTTTTTTAGAAATGCTTTATCAATAAATAATCTTACGGTTTTCACTCTGCAGGTTGAAAAGTATTTAGCAAGGAATTTGCCTTTCCCTTTCACGTCGAAAGATGCGTATGAGCAGAGCATCCGAATGCCTATTGGGCCTGATTTCAACCCAGTGATATCGGTTTCTGCTCTCAATCGACCTCAAGGTGAGTGCATCTAGCTGATACATGGAACTCCTAAGAATTATTATTACTAGCTCATAGAATTGAGGACAGCAGAAATCAAACATGTGATTCAATAATCTACTTTGAGAGCTACAGTCTTGCCTTCTCTGATTTGCACTATATGCATTTACAATGAAATACCTACTGTTTCAGATGTGCAACCTTGATGTTTGTTTATGCCATCCAGCTTCCATCTAGAGGGCATTCCCTGTAGCGACATCAAAACTGTGGACACAGTAATAAATAGAGACATCACATGATTGACATTCTACCATGATGATAATTCATAAATCTTTTACTTACTAAAGCATTTGTACTTAGAGAAAAAAATATGTACAATGTTCTGTCGCCATGGCCAACTTTTTTTATTTTGATAATTAGAAATGCACCTTCTTACCATTCATTTATAAGATTGCATGCTGACCAAAATATGCTTCTATTCACTTGTACCTCCCATCCTTTCAGATTGTTAAGAAGCCCGGTGTTATCATCAAACCAATACAATATGAGGAGGTTAATCCCCATGAGAAGCCTGATGAACCAAAACGAGTCATTCAGAGAGCAACCCCAAACCGGAATGCAAAGAAAGCCTTTGCCAAACAAGGAAAGGGGGCAACTTCACAAAAGAGAAAGTGATGAGACAGTCGTCTTTTTGTCAATTGCTTCATTTGGTCAGAAGCGAAGACTTAAAAGGAGAGCTGATCCGAGTTTTATGTTCCCACACCGAATTTGCAAGTGCATGCCTCCAGGAGTGTATAGGGATTCTTCTCATAGTGAAAATGGGTTCCAGCTGCAGCGCATGACCCATAGGAAAAGGTTTCACACCACTGGTTTATAAGAGCAGAGAAATTTTGGTACAAGTAGTTTTGTCTTTGTTATTTATTGCTTTCGCTAATCGCCACACATGGTCCAAATATGTGGATGCTATATTTCAGTTATGATATGATGATTAGCACTGGCCACTGGTTGACTAGAGTCGCCTGTCTTGTATGCATCCCCACTTTTCAGACGCCAGTAAATTTGGATGATTTGTGTATGTTGAACTGATCGAACATGGAACGAAGTGAATTTGATGCCCACGGCCAAGGGGCTGGCGCGAACGATATCTGAATCGTTGGTTTCAGTAGCCAGATCTTATGGCAACCCACGTTCTAATGGTCCAATAAAAACTTTATATTTGTAGTTTGATATTTATTTTCATGTGAAGCAGAGTAACAACTTTATTATATTTGTAGTTTGATATTTATTTTTATGTGGAGTAGAGTAACGTGTCTAACCTGGAATCCATGCTATCGTATATATAGCATAAAAAAAGTCCTTACCCGTCCATATTGGTTCATGTAAAATTCTGTTATGATAGAGTTAATAATCATGCATATGGCCTGTCGGTTCTGCATTCTAACTCCAAAGATCGGTATGGCTTGGACGGTGCTCAACAATCAGGCAGGGGAGCAGCTCTTGCTGATTACAGCCACAACAGTGCATAGAAGGTCTCACAGGGCAGCCCTTCTGCAACAACAGCCTGTTCGCTTGCTCGTAAACGATCGTAAATTTCTAGCCGGGAACAGTGTTTTTCTCTCACACCAAACCAGTCAGCAGTAAATAATCCACGATACGATACGGCCTCCCGAACAGGCTGAAGGTTCTTGGTTGGGGATACTAGTGCTCTGGCTCATCATACCGCAGTCCATGGGCTACTTTCAGATCAGATGCACATTCATAGAGCTAAGCTGGGCTCCTCCATTGTCTCCTCAGGGGACTCAGAAAGTCAGGTTGCTCCTCACCCAGCTCAGCTAAGCACAGCAGACCACCAGCTACAGACATTGGCGCCAGCCTGCAAGGCACCACGTCCACAATGAGTCTGCTGTCCTGGAACTGCAGAGGAGCAGGCGGGAGCCTCAGTCCAAGAGGGAGTGTTGTACATCAGATAGGAATGAGGAAAATGGGGCGTACTAAATCACACCTAATAATAATATCAGAATCACCACCCAAGAGCGGCTATCATCATATGGACTATCACAAACTGATGTACAACACGCCCAAGAGGGTATATTTCCCAAATCTGAGGCATGGTTAAAAATTTTGTTGGACAAATGAGCACGGATACTCGTTCTTTTTAGACAAAACATTTTTTTTTAACTCTGTTGCATGGTAGATAGCTGGTAAAACCAAGAAGGCACCCCAGAGTGCAGGTGACACTCGGAAGTATTGCCTGCCATATGCCAAAGCAGACATACGATGGAAATATAGCTACAAATCAAAATATACATACATGAGTTAATCTGAAATGTCAATTGCTTACAGAAAGGGGCTAAAACTGGTGCTTCACGACATTCCTTTAAGAAACATACGCCAGCAATTGTTCTGGTTACATTTTACAAGAGGGCAGGATAATCTACTTGCCTCCATCAAACAAGATATATGGTAGGTCAGTAGCAAGCAGAATACCCAGCATATCACAAGTTCGTTAATACAAACCGTCTTCCTTCAAAAACGAGGGAGGAGCCTTGGCTAGATGATACATGTAACATGTTTGAGCTGAAGTTGCAGCATCTTAGCTCCTGATAACCACACGCAAGCATCAACCTAGAGCAATCATATTTCTCCTCGGTAACCCCCGCCGCCAAAGTAGTCTTTTCTCGAGCCAGCAATTGCCATGGACTTTTGGTGCTCCAGCTTCGGACAGTCACTGACACGATGGCCAAGCCCACCACAATACGCACAACCTTTAACACCACTCTCCTTGGCAATTATTTCCTCATCCTCCAATGGATCGTTGAGCTCCGCCAACACCGGTGGAATCCTCTGCTTTGCCTCCTTCAGCAGGTGCTTGAGATCGAGAAGCGTGGTCTCAGTTTGATTCTTGTTGATGAAGGTAGTTGCTATGCCAGTCTTCCCACATCGACCAGTTCGACCGATTCGGTGGACATAGTTCTCAATTTCGGCAGGCGTGTCATAGTTAATGACATGCTGGATGTCAGGGAAATCAAGACCCTTTGATGCAACATCAGTAGCCACCAGAACATCCTTCCTTCCAGTTTTGAAGGAGTCAATTGCGTTCTGTCTCTCCTCTTGATCTTTTCCTCCATGGATAGCAACAGCCTCCACTCCCTTTAGAAGAAGGTACTCATGGATGTAGTCGACGTCAGCTTTGTTTTCACAGAAAATGAGAACAGGAGGTGGAGTCTTCTGGAGGCATTCAAGGAGGTATATAATTCTAGCATCTTCCTTGACATACTCGACTTCTTGAATGACATCTAGATTTGCTGCTCCAGCTCTTCCCACATTGACAGTAACTGGTTTCACAAGGGCATTCTTCGCAAAATTTTGAATCTTCTGAGGCATAGTAGCAGAAAAAAGAAGGGTCTGCCTTTGATCCTTGAAATGGTCGAAAACCTCCTTGATGTCATCCTCAAATCCTAGGTCAACCAGCCTATCCGCTTCATCTAAGGTTAAGTACCTGCACAGATCATAAAAGGGACATTAAGTAACTTGGAACCATGTACAACAATTGGTGGAATGGTGGGAACCCTCAAGAGAGTCAGAGAGATTGACCAGTTTACGCACTATATGGTCCAACCAACTGAATGAATCAAGCCTGAACTGGAAACATAAAGCACTGACACATGGACACATGGGAAAAAGATCTAGTTTGCTTGATAGATTTTTCAAAAAGGGCATCTTCCAAAGACTTTTGGATGCCAAAACTACATTCAGCTGGAAGGAACAAATTAGCGGAAGATAAATAATGCAAGCTAAAATCTGAAATCTGGGTATAGTGACCGGATTGTAGGTCCAGCTGCTGAGGTGCTTGCTACAGCATTCTGCGGCACTTGATAAAAAACATTGCTGAACTAGAAACAGAATGACAGGTACAAAATAATTGCAACAGAAATACTTTAAATGCTCCTTTTTCACGGTAGGACTTTTACTAAAAAAACATATCACTTTTGTTTGATAATGAATTGTTAATCAGATTAATAATTAAAAAACAATTAATGATTGAAAGTACTGAATACTGATCTATGAGAACATATGCTCCTCTTTCCCTAGAAAATGGTGCAAATTTATATGTGGATCTCTTTGTGCAAGTGTTATATGTTGCATACAACATAACACCATGTCCTACATGACAATATGATATGCAATGGCTTATTATCCACTCTAGTACAAAGAAAACTAAATGAAACAAATTCAATAGTCACCCTAACTTGTGTGCTGCCACAAACACATTTTGCAAGCAGGTCCATATTTTTTCAATTTATTAGAACAGGGTTCATGAAAAGAGTGACCAAGCTAAACTTTGATATTAGATTGTGCTGGTTATTACTTAAAACACAAAGTTTTGTTCAGATATTCACATTGGCACACCGTTAAACAGATAACATGAAGATACCCAAGAGTTTGCTACCGAAACATGTTTCTGTTGCATCGAACACCTGCAGTTGTCAAGGTTCATCTTCTTCTTGGCAAGCAAATCCTTGAGCCGACCAGGTGTTGCCACCACAATGTGCACGCCCTTCTTCAACACATCAAGCTGTGTCCTCATATCCACACC